GTACAAGGAAAAGATAGAACAGAATGAATGGAAAAGTGTATAGAAAACAATCGTCCAACTTTAGGCCCCTACACGATTATCGTCCCCGACACCTGATCCTACACAAGACAACCATTGCAAGAAAATTCCACATCACAATTTCTATCTACCAATTGTCCAACTGAAATACGACTAGTTGAGATCTTTGGTGAAAAAAAAACATTCTTGAAAGTTAAAGTCATGTCCCAAACCATGGTAATGGGTAAATTACCACCACTGGCAATTTGTATTTGTGATGGACCTTGATACTTAAGAACATTATTTTAGGATGCTCGTTGAGTTGGTCATATGATTGGAAGCACCTGAATCAACAATCCAAAAATTAGATGTAACATCATTACCTTCTAATTCCAATGCTGAAAAGGTTGACATGATCATTTGTTGTACCATTTCAGGAGTAAGAACTTGTCCAGAAGATGAGTTATTATTAGTGGAACCATTTATCCCAGCTTGAAAAGCTTTGATCCTACAATTTTGAGGGTGCGTGGGTCACTCTTTGATAATGTTTCCTTGTTGTTTACAATAATTAATAGAATTTCTTGCTAACAATATGACCATGTTCCTTGCAACTATAGCATTGAGTTCTACTCATATCCTACCCTTTCTTTTACCTTGAGCAACAAATGCAAGAGTGACATCATTTTCTTATTTGAAAGCATTTTGTGCGACAACACATTGCTCTCACGAAGTAATTCCTTTAAGCAAACATCCAAAAAGGGAGATGGTCACGATTCATCAAGTTAGAGTGAACACTCTCAAAGTCGGAGCGTTATTTCATCAAAAGTTGGTCTCACTTGCTTTGCTTATGAACTGCCAGAATATCTATTCAATAGATATTTTGGCATAGACAATATCTGTAAATTCAACCCATAAGTTTTGAGATCTAGAAAAATAATCCTGAATAGAAAAACCTCCTTGAGAGTAATTAGCAATTTCATACTCTAACTGAAAGCTTCTTGCACTATTATCTTGGTTGTAAACCTTTTGTAATTAATGCCACATGGCCTTATCTGTCTTGTACGTTCTGAGATTAAGAACAATAAGAGGGTCGATTGACCCTAGAATTCATGTCATGACCCGAACATCATTAATCTTCCATTTACCTAACTTTGTTACATCAATAGGAGCAGGATCGCTCCCCATAGTTCTTTGCCAGTGACAAACAACTGAAACTGAAACTCCCAAGACCAACAAAAATTAAAACTCCCAAGAACAAGGATTTTTTTCGGTGAAACGAATACTGAAGGATTCAAAGTGACGTGAATTCATGCTTTTGAATAGCTATGAAAACTACAAAGACACAAGAAAGCAACTAGAATGACCAAGAATAAAATTCCCTGGTGGTAGGACTGATTGTCGATGAACACTCAACCAAAAACCAAAATTTTCAAAAAAAAAATTGGGAAAATGCCTAAGTACCCCCAACCTATGCCCGAAGTCTCAGAGTCACAATTATACTAAGGTCTAATTACCCCGTGAAGTTATTTTATAAATAATTTTCTAACTCTTTTTGGCATACATGATACTATCTTCTAGGTCATGCACGTGAGAGTCTTTCCATTATATACAAAAAATAAAGATTACATATCCCTAAAAATCTGTCATTTCTATCCCTAAAGATCAGCTATTCTATCTCTACAAATCTGCTATTGAATCCCTCTAAATCTGCCTTGCTATCCCTCCAAATCAGCTATTCTATCATAATATTTATTTTTCTGTTTCTACAAAAAATATATATGATCATGCTAATTTATATCACTATATAATTACATTAATATACACACATTTAGTTGTCCATCATGCTAACGACTTAGGTGAAGGCGAATGTCGATCCTATTTTGCTTCAGCTTAAAGATAAGATACATCAGCATGGAATGACGACTTATGAACAAGGGAGAAATGGCACTTTGAGGTGCCAAGGCAAGTTGTGTGTTCCTAATGTTGATGGGCTTTGTGAGAGGATCTTGGCAGAATCTCATAGTTCACGGTATTCCGTTCAACCCAGCTCTACGGAGATGTATCACGATCTTAAGGGGGTGTATCGGTGTAATGACATGAAGAGAGGGGTGGTAAACTATGTAGCCAAGTGTCTGAATTGCCTCGCAGGTTAAGGTTGAGCATCAAAATACCAGTGGGGATGATTAACATTGACTACGTGATTGATTTATCTCGCTCATTTTGAAAACATGATTCCATTTGGGTGATCATGGATCGACTCACGAAGTCTGCCATTTCTTGCTCATAAAGATTATCGACTCACCGGAAGATTATGCAAAATTGTGCATTCAAGAGATAGTCTGGTTGCATGGGAGTCTACTCTCCATTATTGCATATTGTGGTGCTCAGTTCGGGGCAAATTTTCGAAAGTCTATTCGAAAATGGTTCGGCACACAAGTGAATCTCAACACGACTTTTCACTTGCAAACAAATGAACATGTCGAACACATAATTCACACACTCAAGGACACGTTGAGGGCTTGTGCCTTGGACATCAAAGGCAATTGGGATGATCACTTGCCCCTTATCGAGTTAGCCTACTACAATAGCTACCACTCGAATATTAGGATGGCACTGTTCGAGGCATAATATGACCAATGATGTAGGTTTTCTATTGTGTTTAAAAGTGGGTGAAGCAGAGTTACTTGGGCAGACTTGGTTCACCATGCTATGGAGAAGGTCAAGGTAATTTAGGACTGACTAAGAACAACTAGAAGCTATCAAATATCCTATTCAGATGTGCACTGCATAAAGCTAGAGTTAGGCGTTGATGATTTGGGTATTTCTCATAGCTTCACCTATGAGGATTGTTATGCAGTTCGACAGAAAGGGGATGCTAACTCACGATATATTTGTCCTTATAGGATGTTGAGGAGGATTGGACTAGTGGCCTACTAAGTAGTGTTGTCAATGGGGTTGTCTTCAATTCATTCGATTTTTCATGTGTTTATGTAAGGGGAGTGTGTAGGAGACTTGCCTCTCGTCGTGCCTAACCAATGTTCTGAAAGGCACTCGCCTCTCGCCAAAGGCGATGAGGCGATGCCTCGTTGCCTTTTACTGGTGAGACGTGGTGAGTTCAAAATAGCGACCAAAAAGCGAATGGCAAGGCAAGGCGACAAGGAGTCACCTTTAAAAAAAGGATCTGATCTGATAATTAAAAGGCAATATTAGGGTTTATTTGGTGTTTTTGCAAATCAAGGACTTCTTCTCTCCATCGCCACTCTCCTTGCACCTTCGTGACCCTCTCTTCTACAGTTCTCCACCCTCACTACTTCGCGACTTCCTTCTTCGTCTCTTCTCCAATTCTCCTCACTACTGACGATGAAACCTCAGCTACTCAGCACTCAGCAGGTATTGTTTTAGATTATTTTTTTCTTCTCTTCTTCTTACATATGCAGAAGTGCAGACTCTGTTTTACACTCTGCTTTTTTTATTTTATTTTGAAGCTACTGATAACTTACTGCTGCATTCTGCCTACATTTCAAGGAAAAAAAAATTAATCCTTCTATATTTATTTTGCCCTTCTCAATTTAGTTTTATACTAATTAATATCGTAGTTGCTAATATATATTATTGCTACTGAGATTTTGGATATTTATGTATGCAAAATAAATATTTCAAGTATTTGGTATTAATTGACGCCTCAATCCAAAAAGGCGAGCGGCAACGCCACGGGGCTAGGCAGACCCTTGTCGCCTTTCGCCGTCCAAAAGCATTGTGCCTAACTAAGATATTGATGTCATAGAGAACTTATCCTATGAATGAATAGATTCCCATAGCTATTATTGATCGCCAAGTCGGAAAATTGAGAAGCAAGGAAGTGACCCCAGTTAAGGTGTTATGAAGGAATCATAATGTTGAAGAGGCTACATGGGAGGCTGCACAAGCCACAAATTCAAAATATTTGCATCTAGTTAAGGTCTTGAAGAAAGAGCTTAAGGTAGAACTCCTTTTCCAATACTCTATACTAATACATAAATGTTTTGTCACTGATGCATAAGTATTCAAGCTCATATTTACGTTCTAAGTCTCTATACCTTCCATGATTCATGCTGATGAATTGTTTTCCGTGGCATATCCCGTTACTGATGACAATGATAGAGTGAGTATTTGGTAAGGATGGTAAGTTATGCGAAATTAAATTGTTTTCCGTGGCATATCCCGTTACTGATGACAATGATAGAGTGAGTATTTGGTAAGGATGGTAAGTTATGCGAAATTAAATCCTTTTGATGTTTTCTAAGGCTAAGAAAATCCCATCACTTTCGTTTTTATGTTGGATCCTCTCATATTTTCCCTCTTCCTTGCATTCATTTAATTCTATTTTCCTCTGACTGCTCTGTTCTTTTTCCTAATAACATGAAAAAATTAGTGACTTGTTTGATGTTCTCTAAGCTCAGAGCAAGTTATTTTCTTTTTGTCCTTTGCCTGACGAAAAAGGAGATACTATCCACAGTGTCTTAACTTTATTTTCATGCCTCATAACAGTTCCAGTATTCAATATGCTAAGAAGGAAGCATAGGTCAAATATTTTTTTAATAAGGTCTAGTCAAGTGTAGGTTTCTAGGCCTTCTCATGCAATTTGTGTCTGTTACAGTTCCCAAAATAATGGTGATATTAGCTGATGTAGAGCATGACTCAAGCCAATTTATGTTTCCATTTAAAAAACTAATATGCTATCCTATTCTAGACAGTGTTACAAAAGGCGAGCGCCTCATCGCCTTTGGCGAGAGGCGAGGCGAGGCGATGGGTCCTCGCCATTCTCTGCCGAGGCGAGGCGATAGCAAAAAGGCGAGGAGTGGCGAGGTATGGCGCTACAATGGCGACAGAAAAGGCGCTGCCTTTTTAATTAAAAATATTTGACTTAATAATATTAGTCAAAATTATGGTTTTTTTTTACTTTTGAAATTTCTGAAACTCCATCGCGACTCTCTCTCTCGATTGACTCTCTTCTCCAGTTCTCTTCTCTTCTCCCTCGGTGTCGGCTTCTCCATCGCGAGCCTCTCTCCAGTTCTCCCTCGCTGTCGGATTCTGTTCTCCTTCTCCCTCGCCGGCCGCCGGCTCACAATTCTGTTCCCTCGCGACTCTCTGTTCTCCAGGTATGTCGTTTTCTCTCTTCTTCTTCAACATTTTTTTTTGTTCTTCTTCTTCAGTTTTTTTTTTCAGTTGTGTTTTTTTGGTGCAAGGCTGTAAGCAGTGCTTAGTTGCTTACTGCTTGTGTAATTTTTTTTTAATTATAGGCAGTTAATTAAAAAAAAATCTTTCCATTTTCCTAATTATTTATTCCAATATTCCTAAATAGCGAATTAATTGAATTTAATAATCAATGGCAGTTGCTAGCAAAAGAGGGACATTGGATGGAATTATGGCACTCAAGGGTTGGATAATTTGAAGAAGAATAGACTTTTAAAGTTTTGGTTTATTGTATTTTGAATTGTTTGGTCTTTAAAGTTTTAGACATTTTAGTATCTACTATTGGTTTTTGAATTGAATATTTGTTAATATGTGTTATTGCTATTAAGATTTTGGACAAAATATGCAGTTAAATATTTTTAATTTTTGGTATTAATTGACGCCTTTATTCAAAAAGGCAAGCGCCTCGCCGCTCGCCTCGCCGCGTGGCGAGGCAGGCCCTTGTCGCCTTTTGTCGCCTCTCGCCGTCCACAACACTGATTCTAGATAGCTATTCTAATTAATAGATCGATACAGATGCCTGACCCACTGGAAATTTAATAGAAAATCACACATAATAGCAGGAAGTAAGGACCACTTTACAGAAAAAAAACATTGTGCCACTTTTACTTATGTTGGAGAAAAGAAATCATATTTATTGAATAAATCAAACGTGGACTTAAGAGTGATCCATAAGGTTATTGCCATAATGTTACTAAACTAGTATCAGATGCACTGTAGTCTATGATGGGGTTGGGGCACATTTCTTACGTATCACAGGATTCAAATGAGGAAAAAGCAAGAAGCTGGCAGGAGGACACAAAGGTGAGAGTGAAAGTTTATTACCAAAAGATATTCAAGGAAGCATGTAATAGCATCAAAAAATGACCGAGGACGAATACACATTTTGGGTGGATATACTGGATGATTATAAAATGATGCAACTCAATGGACCACCTGAAGTAAGGGGTATAAGTAATAAAGGTATAAGTGGTAAGCACTGAGCTATTAAATTGTTCAAAAGCTAACTAGCATTTGCTTGATGCAAAAAGGCACAGCGAGTAAAACTCATGATAGCTTTTGTCATTCAGAGTGAGCTAAAGATTGGCTGCATCACTTACGTACTTCTTTTTGCATCTAGGTGATAGTTTCTACTAATTGAAGAAAATGTGACGGATTTTTCAAATTCAAAAAAAAAAAAAAAAAGCTAAAGCAATTCTAAAAATGAACCCATAATGCAGATACCAAGAGAAAGACAGAAATCTTTTAGCAAGCTTGCAGTCAAAAAAACAAATAACTATTTATTTGGTATCACCTTTCATTAAAATTCTGCATCTCTTTAACTTCCATCCGTTCAGATCTTACAACGAACCCCCGATTACTTAACCTGAATGTCATAGATTGTCATCAGAATCAAAACTATTTTTTCTTCCCCAACAACTTTCAATTACCTTTCCCTGAAGAGAACAGGATATATCCTTGAAATTACAACCAATGTTAGTGGAACAGCACCTCCACCATCCTTGATTGACATAAATGATAATGGAATACCACCACCTTTACCTAACAGTGTTTACATGAAGCAAGACAGGACAAACGGAAACATAATAAATTATAATGGCATAGCCAGGATATAACTACAAGTAATGAGTTTTTGGTATTACTAATACTTACAGAAACCCAAACGAGATGCCCAATGAGCTCTATATGTCCCATTTATATGCAGCAGTAAACTAGTCGTCCCTGACACCTAAAATTAATGCAGACCTTTAAAAATGCCAATAGAAACTGGAAAAGCTCTTGAAAGCAACAATATTCATTATCTAGAAGCTGCTAAAGGCAACAACCTCAAGAGGTGAAACAGGACCTGTCCAGCCACACAATCCAGCTCCCCAGATCTATAAATGACAAGATAAGCTGTGAGCAATATGAAAAGCTCAAAGAATAGACTATAACTATTAATTTAATGTGGTACCCTAAGCTTTTGGCCAACAAACAGCTTTCCAGCAGCCATCTTCTTGGATAGTTGTAAATCTAAAACAGCAATTATTGAATACCTATAAAACACACAAATTCTGCATGATCAGGAAATCCAATTTATGACACCATAAACATTAATATTTTTCTTACCACCCATCGGTCAGTTCAACTTTTGCACAAGTACCATTCTCGGTCGTGCTAGACAATGAAGATTGAGGTCCAACTGGCGAGACATGAATTGAATAGATATTGGAAACACAGAGTACCATCATAGAAGAAGGTGGGAGGTCTCCTTCTAAAATTCTCTTAACTGCAGATCGATGACCATGATTTACTTCTCTTTCATATCTGTCCAACGGATGAATTGATGTTTTTATTGTACCTGCGAGATCCAAGAGGAAATGCACAAACTGGCTGAATTACAGATACCTGTATTTTAATTCTTCAAGTACATTGCATATTGTCAGAAGTTTCCCGGAAAATTTGCCACTGTAACACCTCTCATAAGATGCAAGTTTCCAAACAATCCACTTATAGTGATTTGTAATCCACCTATTGGAATGATGAAGAATATTTGTAAGCATGTCACATCAAAGAACAATTTAAAAGGAAGATAAGCTTTTATTAGACATCAACCATATTAAACGATAGAATTGTCTTGATCTGCTCAGCAGATAAGTACACCCATGATAATAAGTTTATAACTATATAGATCAATAAGTGGATCTAAGAGAAAGTAGCATATAGAAGTGCCAGGATATCTCAACAATGTCAGAACTGTAAGCAAAACTTATCACCAAATCATTTTGAAGTCTTCAAAACAAGCTGCCAGACACACACAGATGCATAATTGAATGGGTACTATTACCAACAACTATGCATAATGCTACAAGCAACAATTCTTTAGTGCAGCACTTAAAACTAATTGGTTCCATCTGATGATTCATACCGTACACCCAAGATTATAGCTCTATGGATCAACTGGTGGATCTAAGGGAATCTAGAAAATACAAGTTCCTGTAACTCTCAACAATGTCAGTACAGAATGTGAAATCTATAGCAAAATAATTCCGTAGCTTCAACGAAAGCTCCCAGACACATGCATGATTCAATGGGTACTATTACCAATATCTATTCATATTGCTACAAGAGGTCAACAATCATTTAATGCAACACTTGAAACAAATTGGTTGCTTCTAGTAATGTAGCTACTCAAACAGCAGCTTTTCTGACAGCCAACTAATTTTTCTCAACATTTTTGCAGAGAAGTATAAAAAATTACTTTTTAGAAACATATTGCATGGAAGCTCCTGATTGAGACAGCATCTCCAAAAAAGACCCTACTCCAATGCAACCTGAGCAAGATTCATCATTGAACACATAAGTCTCAGCAGTGGCTGGATTCATCCTGCTCACGTCATCTGGCAAACTCTCTAACTGAATCTCCACAGAATATAAGAAGTATCAGCTATCAAAAGCAAAGTCATCAATCAAAGGAAACAAATTATTCTGGCCCATTCACACCTTGCTCAGGATTGATGGAGGCTTTCCAAGATACTCTTTCATATACAATCGTGCCACATGGAATGGATATCGAATTGAAACCTTTCCTTTTTGAGAGGGTAATTTTGGTGCTAAATCTGAGAACCCTAGTGAAATGATATCAAACCTATCAAAAATGATTCAAGACAAGCCATAAGGAGTGTAATTACAAACTTCAAATATACCATTAGCAGCACCAGAATCGTTTCTTTTGAGAGGGTTGACAATGCTGGTGCTTCGAGGCTTCTTGAATGGAGAAACAAAACTTCCCCCGGGTTTCCTCTTCCGACCAACGTTCTGGTTTCTATCTGCAATTCCTCCTCCAATGTTATTTGAGATATCCACCAAAGGGCCCCTGGAAGGCCGTTCTAGCAATTTAGGTTTTGAAGCGATATCATTTTCTCTAAGGTCCGTAGCTGCTGAGTTCTTATTGAATGGCTCTCCATTCTGTGGAATACTATGGTCCAGCCTACTAGTGCTTTCTTTTGCCACAGCATCAAATTCCTTAATCAAGTTACTTGCTGGAACGAGATTCTCTAATTTAATTGAAGACTTTTTATGATACAAAGTTGATCTCAATGGCGATGTAAAAAGGCTTGAGGACCCACTACCTTTCGCTGCCGATAAGAGGGAAACAGGAGTATCAGAGTTCAATTCTTTGGTGGAGACCTGATCAACAGATTTTTGGTCTTTTGAAAAAGAAAGCAATGGATCAGCCATATCCTTTTCATCAACAAGACAACCCAGCTCTAGATCTCCAAGCAGACTCTTTGCGCGTTTCAATGCCTCACAGGAAACTGTTATTGATCTACCACCAGCAGTATGAAACTTTATTGGAGGAGGTTTACCTGCAGAGTGCAGAAAATCTGCTACTAACTCCTCTGCTGGACAAACTGTGGAGTTAAATTTAACATCAAACGGAGACAATGAAGCTGCTGAAACATTAGTAGACCCTGTGCTAGCAATGCCCTCTACTTCCACAATAGGAAAGGAATTCCTAAAACCAAAGAGCTCATCTGGAGTTGTATTTTTCTTTCCAGAACCTGGAAATGTTTCATGGTCACCATTTTCTTCCAAGCCCAACAACGCCTTGGCCTTATTAAGACCTGTACAAGATATATTGACTGGTTTACCGGAGGCTGTCTGGAACAACGAGTTTGACATGCTAAATTGTTTGTTCAAGCTAGAAGGGGAAAAGGATTGTGGAGCATTAAGGGGTTCCCCTGAGCCTTTCTGGAACACGGCTTCCTGAAAAGTAAGAACATCTTGTCTTCCAGTTCCTATGCCTGCACAATAATACGGTAATGCATATATATAGTCAAGAAACTTGGATATGGACTCACATACTCCACTATATCTCTAAAATTGACAAATCAAAAGGAAACACGTGCTACAAAGAATAATCCAAGATTGAATTTTAGGTCAAATACTAATTCTAAGTTGTGGGTCTTATTTGAAAAAATCCCAAGTATACACCGTATTTTTAAACACCTGCAGTGAAGCAACATGAAAAGAAGATGAAATTTTTACATAATAGATTATTATGGAGGATACCTGTGTCCAAAATCGGCTTGTCTTCATCATCAAGGATGGAAAGAGCTGTTGATATGGAAGAATGTTTCACTGACACAGGTTTCCCTCGAAAAATTGGAAATCGTGTACTAGTTGAATCGGTGTTCCCTGCTAATCTCGAAGTTCCTGCATTTCAAAAGAAGCCATTACTTTAATGCCATGGCACGGCATGCAAATATTGAAGAAAACAAACAAGTACCTTGACGCAAGAGATCGGGTATGGATTGGAGCTGCTGGGGAGGTAGGGTTAAGCTCGGTTCTTCAGTAAGAGACTCTCCTGAGACTTTCCATCGGAAATCATTCACCGACACGGAGTACAACTGCCACATCGACATCTTCCGGCAATCTGTGGGAAATTTTTTCCAACCTTCTTTTTATTAATAAAGCGGGAAAATTTCGTCTCTTATACCCGCGCCAATTCAATTCTGGGCCTTAACTGGACTAAACAAAAAGTCATTTTAGAAGACTACCCCGTTTTCAATTTTTGTATTTCCTTCAAATAGTTGATGGAAACTGAAACTATTAAATTCTCATGGGAGAAGGGTCAAATATGCTCTTAAACTATTTGAAAAGGTTTAGATATACCCTCCGTTTAAAGATTGGTTCATTTATACCTTCGTCGTCCAACTTTTGGTCTACATATGCCCTTTTGAGCGTTAGTTGGGCAACTCGGAATATCCAACTCATTTTATTTTTATTCAAAAATGCCAAATGGATTTTCCACGTCATTTTTGTTATTATCACTTGACATTTATATTCAAGGGAAAAGGGTCAAA